GGATAGAGGAGAGGAGAAGAGAATAGCTGGAAACACCTGATCATGTCTTTTGTTCTTGCAGTTGGAGATCTGTACATCAGCATTGCAAAGAACCTCAGGAGTGACGTGTACGCCCAGACTTGGGGCTGCCAGCGGGACCGCACGGAGGACTACTGTCCCAGAGAAGACTTTAAAGTCACCAACGTCGAAGAGTTATCTATCAGTTCTCTTGGAGCATGGAAGCCTACGGCAGACCATTCCAAGTGGTGTGTAGCTGTGGATCAGAACAAACACTGGACCTGCATCGCTGATGTGAACAGGGCCATAAGTCAGTTCAAGCGTTTCGGAGGCGCACTCTGCATCAACGATCAGCGGGTTCACAATGAGTTTCGGGCTTTCACTAGACTTCCTACCTGTCGGAAGCGTCCTTACCCCCTACCACCTGAATGTGGTTCAATCTCTGATGATGGCAGTTTACATTTTTTAAGTGGTTAAATCAACACGGCTATAACTTCCTGCTCTGTAGACCTTTAAATGGGGAAAACATGGATTAAACTGAGCAGAATTGATTCATTGAATTTGCTAAATACCTGTTGCTTTTTTCTTAGTGAAGTGTTGTTGCAAAAGGTCAGATGTTGTAAGAGTTGCTGTGTTCTGAAGTTAACCCCTGTGTCTCTGTGAGGAATGAAAAAAGTTGCATCTGACTCTTTGTTTTTGGTCTCCTAACAGGACATAAAGTTTTTCACTGTTTGATTCTTTTTATTAACATTAGATTTCCTCTCAGAGAGGGCTTTACTGCAAATGTTTTAACTTTCATATGTTTGTTCTCCTCATTAATTTCAGTCTTTCAGTCTCTTGTCTCACTCAAATCTAGCCACTGTGAGACAGTACAGCCTTTTCTTTTCCTATCTGGCCCCATCATGTATTCCAACCTGTCTGTAGGTTAAAAGATTAACTAAAGATAGAGATATTAGATGAGTTTTTAATCGTTTAAATAATGAAATGGACAAATTTTAGAAGACACCTCACAGGGGAACAGGTCTCCTTGAGGCCCTCTTGGCCTCAGCAGGAGGCCACTAGTCATGGCTCAGAACAGAGGACCCTGTATTCAAGGCAGACAGACAGTCGGATAATTCAAAAGGGTTTATTTTAAAATGGTGGTTCTACAGACACAGCAAGGACGTCCAAGTCAGGAACCTCTGGTTTTATAGTTCAGTCTGTGCCCAGAGAACATGGTTGAATCCAGCCGGTCGGCTGCCAACAAGAAGCCAAAGCCGGCGCCGAGGACGTGCTGAGGATTCAGAACAAGGAGATCAGAAGTCCGTAGAGGTTCCGAAGGGAAATCCAGAAAGGTGACAGGAAGCAGCCCCAAGTTCAGCAAACAGGAAGAATCCAGCAGGAGTCCATATACAGTTCAGGCAAACAGAACAGGTTGGAGCAGGCAGGCTCAGTGGTAGAGAGGCAGAACAGATCAAGATCGGGTAATCAGAAAAAAGTTAACACTGAAAACGCTCTCAGCACTGGCTCGAGAGATAATCTAGCCTGATAACACTGGCAAGAGATCTCCTACCGAAGGCTCGAATAATCTGGCATTGATGACCGGTAGCAGGCAGGCTAAATAGAAGCTGGAGCAGGTCGATCAAAAAGAGCAGTAATGAGCAACTGGGCAGAGTTAGACAGGTGAATAAAATTTGTAAGTAAGCCAAGATCATTAGCGCTAAGATCATTACACAGGCTACTGCGGGAACTATTTAATGAAGATGCCAGTTGGGGACCTGT